CTCTTTCTCTGCCTCTCTGGTGAGCACATGCACCCTATAGCAAAAATCTCTCTTTAACACAAAACAAAACAAAACAACCCCCAAGATTTCGGATCCCAAACACAGAAATAATGAGCCTGTCAAATAGCAGAGTGAAAGAAGGTGAAAGTTCTCTCATGATCTGGGAAGCCAAAATGTGGTCCAGCAGCGTTTTTAGAGAGGTTAGCTGGAAAGGGTGGTTTCACAGAATGCTGCAGTTGCTATCATAATCATTAACATCATCATTATTAAATAGCAATTAATAATCAAGTAGCAATTAAGTACTTAATTTATTTTCTTTTTCTTTTTCCTCCTCTTTTTTTCGAGAGGTTTTTGCTATATGGCGCTGCACTTGCCAGACAGACCAGACAGAGACAGCAAGACAGAAAGCAAGAAATCACCGCCCCCCCACACACACCTGGGGCGGATGGCCACACCGCAATCCCTTCTCCTCCATTCTCCGCTCAGGGATCTTGGGCACACACGCACATGCGCCCGGCGTGAGTTTTAAGCCACCAGGTCCGGGACGCGAACCAGGGTCGGCTACATGGGAGTCCAGCGACATAGCCATTACGCTAACTGCTGGTCCCTAAGTGCTTAATTTCTTTCACCACCTCAAAAATCGAATAGAGGGCTGCACTCCCCGCCGTAGCCTGTTTGATGAGCAATAGCATAACGAAATGAAAAGGTCAAAAGTAGCGGAAAGACAGGCGTGGGACAGCGGCAGAAGGCTCTTCCCAAACCAGGCCGCCCAGTTCCTGATTTTCACCCTGCTTGTCCAACCCACGAGTGGATGATCTTTTCCTCCTACTTCTTCCTCCTTTGCTCTGTGCGCCCTCCACGTCTCCTTTTCCTGTCCTTTTCCAGGGCAGAGCCGGTTCTGAAGCTCAGCTTTGGCCCATCACTTGTTTCCCCATCGTCTCTGGGCGTCCGGGAAGCGGACTGCGAGTCCCGAAACTCCAGTGGGGCAGGAGCCAGAGCTCTGAGCATGTGCGAGTAAGTCAGGGGGCTGGGGAGTATCAGAGGGGCCGCGTCTATTCGGGGGCCAGGACGTATTTGGAAGGCCGGTTGAAGGTCCCTGCGGTGAGTGTGAAGGTAGGGCGCCGCGAGCGCTGGGCCACCAACTCTGCCCCAGGAGTGCCCCTGTGCCCAAAGCGCCGCCGCTGGGCTCTGCTCTCAGGGCGTGGGCGAGCTGGCCGCGTGTGCCTTGCTGCTTGACACTGGGGCG